TTTTCCAAAGACTGTCTCTAGAGCTTGAGTGATCCAACAATCAGGAGAATGAAGCCGATTTTTTCTTTCTGTAACTTCTTTTCGATCGCCAAAGTCTATTCCCGGGAGTCCATCTAGGTAAATAAAAAAAGCTGACCACCCAGATTTCCAGTAATGAATAAACCAGTAACCTTACTGTCTGAAAAGGGGTGTCAAATATCTACAGTTTGTCTAAAATGGGGTGTCAACTATCCGCAGTTTGTCTAAATTGGGGTAGGCAATTTGAGTTTATTTATCTCTGATAAGGGATAGGGGTTTCAAACAACAAGCTACACACCCCTGTCAGTATTTTCTGCAAGTACCCCCCCCCCGCGGGCTAAATCCACACCAGAAAATTTTCCACATATCCTCTGCTTGGAAGCAAGCACTCAAATGAATTGAGGGCACAGTAATACTGCATTGTGGGCGTTGCGATTTTAGCAATCACAATCATCTCTACATTGAGGGCGCTATTAAGTTATCAATTACTAGTACAATTGTTACTGCATGAGGGTGCTGTAACCTTAGCAACCATAAGCATAAATGCATAAAGGGCACTGTAACCTTACCAATTATAACACATGTAATTATTACTGGATTGAGGGCGCTGTGTAACTATCACAATAGTTACTGCTCTGAAGACATTACCAATATTATAATTATATAATTGTTACTGCTTTGAGGGCGCTGTCACCTTAGCTAATATAATTGTTACTGCATTGAGGGCGCAGTGATCTTAGCTAATATAATTTTTACTGCACTGAGACTTTTTTTAAATGTTTTTGTACCAGGTGACAGTTCCGGACATTGAATGTCACTGATGTCTCTCCTGACTTTTTTTTTGTATGTGCAAATTGCTAGTGCTGACACATGGTGCATTTTGCCATAGAAATCATTTCCTGATTGGAACTACATGACAAGGCTGTGTAGCCATTTGAGAGCACTGAGACTTTACCAATTATAATTATTACCCCATTGAGGACGCTGTGTAACAATCACAATCATTACTGCATTGAGGGCGCTATGACCTTACCAATTATAATTGTTACTGTATTGAGGGCGCTATGACCTTATCAATTATAATCGTTACTGCATTGAGGGAATTGTGAGCTTAGCAATCATAATCATTGGCTGGTTCCTGCCTCAAGTATCATGGCGCACCAAGCCACAAGAAGCCGGTAACTACTAATGGTTCCAGCATTATGATTGGTCCATCACGTTCTCGTTGCTTGTTCTATTTCTCTTGGTTACCTGGAGTCAGCACTTACGCTAATGGCCGTTCGGGAGTTTCCTTTTACTCTCGAAAGTTGGGCGAACTAAAATCTGTCTCCTGTTATCAATTTGTACAGAAACAGTGAGAAATGCCAGAACCATCTCAAATATTTATAGTTCTTGCTGGCAGATTGTACAGGCATGGCGTTATTGCAGCAATGAAGACTTGTTTACGGAAAGCGAATATAATGTTTTCAAATTACGGAATCCCGGCCCAGTGGAACAATATGGTGATGACTAGTTACCTGCGTCCTACTTGCCATTCGCACGGACACCGGGAACCAGCGTATAATGATCATTACTTCATTGAGGGCGCTGTGACCTTAGCGTATCATAATCATTACTTCATTGAGGGCGCTGTGACGTTAGCATATCATAATCATTACTTCATTGAGGGCACTGTGACCTTAGCGTATCATAATCATTACTTCATTGAGGGCGCTGTGACCTTAGCGTATCATAATCATTACTTCATTGAGGGTGCTGTGACCTTAGCGTATCATAATCATTACTTCATTGAGGGCGCTGTGACCTTAGCGTATCATAATCATTACTTCATTGAGGGCACTGTGACCTTAGCGTATCATAATCATTACTTCATTGAGGGCGCTGTGACCTTAGCGTATCATAATCATTACTTCATTGAGGGTGCTGTGACCTTAGCGTATCATAATCATTACTTCATTGAGGGCGCTGTGACCTTAGCGTATCATAATCATTACTTCATTGAGGGCACTGTGACCTTAGCGTATCAATCATTACTTCATTGAGGGCACTGTGACCTTAGCATATCATAATCATTACTTCATTGAGGGCGCTGTGACCTTAGCGCATCATAATCATTACTTCATTGAGGGCACTGTGACCTTAGCGTATCATAATCATTACTTCATTGAGGGCGCTGAGACCTTAGCATATCATAATCATTACTTCATT